AAAAAAAAAAAAAAAAAAAAAAAAAAAAATAGCAATAAAGTTAGCAAACATAAAGAAAACCATTGCCTTATTGGAATATGGAAACCAGCATTATCGATCGCATTCAATAGCACAGTGGCTTCACTAATGCTGCGGCACAAACTTGCAGCCTTAATAAAACAAGTCCATATCCTGTGGTCGGGATCTAAGCCATCCTTTTTCATCTCCTCGAGCTTCTGAATGCCTATTTCAAGATCACCATTCTTCAGATAAGCATCAATGACCGAACTGTAAGGTAAAGTGCTTAGATTTGAATCCATAGACTTCAGACTGTTAAGCACTTTTTCAGCTTCCACTGGATGTCCAGAGCTCCCATAAGAAGTCATAAGCATGTGCATTGTAGCAAACGTGGGCTCAATTCCCGATTCTTTCATAGTCACCAGTAGATTTTCGGCTTTCGTGTGATTCCCCGATTTCCTATACATTCTCATCATCAAGTGATAAAAGGATCTGTTTAGTGAGTGCCCTTCGGACTTTAGGCCGTCAAAAAGCTCCTCAGCTTCTTCCACCATTAGCTTTTTGCAAAAAGCTGAAATCAGGCTTTTGTAGGTGTCCATGTGAGGGTTTTGACCTAGCTGTCTCATTTTACGCATCAATAAAATACCTTCTTCAGGCCTACAATCTCTACAATACATTATTATTAAAGTACTGTAAGTTTCATCATTCGGCTCGAGTTCAGATTCTTGAATTCGCTGATAAACCAGAGCTGCCTTCTTATAGTCCTCTATTTTTGTGTACATTTTGAGCAACGAATTAAATATAGAAAGATCGGGAGTAAAACCTACTTCCTCCAGTTCCAAAACCATAGCCTCAACATCCCTTACCTGTTTTGCCCTCGACAGCAAACCAATCATAACCCTATAGAGATGCATTGTAGGTAGATATCCAGCAGCTTTCATACTGTGGTATATTTTCTTCACTTCAAATACATTACCCGATTGAGCAAAAGCTTCTAACATCAAAATAATAGAACTCTTACTAATTTTGAAACCCATGTCCTGTAGATCCTGTATAACAACATAGAGCTCGTCTAATCTCCCATCGACAATAAGAGCCTGCAGCAGGCCGTTCATGGTATCAACACTTGGTGATGGCCCATCTCTCATCATTGTACTAAAAGCAGCTCTTGCCTTTTCATAACAGCCATTTGCGGCATAAGATTGAATTAATGAGTTCCAAACTTTACGGTCCAATACGTTATGCCTCTGCCTCAGGCTCCCCACCACGCTTTCTGCCTTTTCCAGTTGTTTTGCCTTTCCATAAGCTTCAACAAGACTCGTGCATATTAATGAGTCTTGAAGAGGAAAGCCTTTTACTTCTGCTTTCTTATATAAATTATGAGCTGTCTCGGGAAATTCCAATTTGCAATAAATAAGAATCATTGTTTGATATATATCTGCCGAAAGCTCAATCCCATGGAATTTCATATCTGAAAATACTTGAGAAGCTTCAGCAAAATTTTGATTCTCAGCACAGGATTTGATAAGGGAATCATACATAACCGAGCTGCCACCATAAGTATGTAAGTCGTTATTTTTGTTGTATTCATCTAAAGCAACATCTAATTGGCCAGCTTTGCAATAAATAACAACCAAAGACTCAGCTACGAACTGGTGGGACCCAGACCCGTGCTTCTGTATATAATTCAGAAGCTCTATTGCTTCACGATATCTCCCGGATAAACTATACGAAGTCAAAATCGATAATAAACTTTCCTTGTCCAAATTAGAACCTCCAATCACCGCAAGTCTCAATTTTTCAGCCGCAAGATCATAGCAGCCACCTTTGGTAAGCACAAAACTGATTTTGTCGGGGCCCAAGCCATGCAGATCCTCGAGATCCTCAACCACTTTCTGTACGCAATATTCATTGTTTTCTCCACTGAGCACACTCAACAGACCTTCATACAGAGCAAGCTCAGGGACAAAACCGTCATTAATCATTTTCTTGTACAAAGAGACCGCTTTCTTCGCGTTGTTTGACTTCAGGTACACGTTCAGCATGACACTGTATGCGATATTGTCTGGCTTAATACCGGACCTCACCATGCAATCAAAATTCTTCTCAGCCTCTGCCCATTGACCAGCTTTTGCATATCCACATATCAATGCACTGTAAGTACGCAAAGTTGGCCTTATGCCAGAATCCAGCATGTCAGACATCAATTTAGCAGCCTCTTCCATTTTATTCGCTTTCCCGAAAGAGTCTATAAGTACGGTATATGTAACCGCATCAGGATGCCGACCGAACGTCTCCATATCCCTGTATACCTGCAAAGCAAGTTCATGCTTGCCTTTTTTCCCATACATGTGAATAATAGTGTTGTAGGTCATCTCATCTTTCGCAAACCCCATTTTCATCATTTCTTCACAAATTTCCTTCACCTTCTCCACTTTCCCTTCCCTAGCAAATGCATGCAGCAGAGAATTGTAAGTAACTGCATCGGGAGCAAAACCCTTTGATCCCAACTCGTTAAAAACGCGCTCGGCCTCTCCCGGCAGTCCACATCTCCCGTAAACCGATAACATGGCATTGTACGTCCACAAATCGGGCTCACACTTATTGGCCTTCATGTCCTGAAAGACACTCACAGCTTCCTTCAAATTGGATTCGCGCGAGCAGCCGCTGATGAGAGTGTTGTACGTGATTATGTCGGGCTTTACGCCCGATCTCCTCACTTGATCCAGAAGCTCGAGTCCCAGATTTTGAGTCATAGGCCCAGACTTCAACCGAGCATTTATCAATGTATTGAAACTAATTAAATCAGGCTCACACCCACTTTTGCGCATCAAATCGAGCAAGCCTTGAACCTTTGAAAACTGCCCGTTCCTAGCGTACACGCCCATCATCGCATTATACACCTGCACAGTGTTGCCACCATTAGACTCGGCCCGAGTGAAGATCTCCACAGCCAGAGCTTCCTGATTGGCTTTTCCAAGCACGGCCACTATCGTGGCCAACATTCTCGAGTTGGGCTCGTACCATTTCCGGAGGTTGAGCCACTCAAAAACCTCTAAAGCCCTCTGCCAGCTCGACTGGCCAACCCATTTCACAACAAAGCAGTAATCGGTGGGGGTCATCTGAACCAGCTTCTTGTCCAGGACATCGGCCACAAACTCATCGGGCTTCAGCGCGAGAATCTTATCCGTCAAAATCTGCACCCTCTTTCGCCAGTCTTTATCCCTCTTGAGCGCCAGCTTGTTCATCTTCTTCACTCTATTTCTTCTGAGCCTTTTATCGAACACCTCGTGCTCGTTCTCGTCAACGAATTCCTCATCTGGGTTCGCTTCAATTTCTTTTCTTTCCGCCTCGATTTCGTCTGAAATGTCGGAATACGGCTTTTTCTCGAGAAAACTGTACTGGGTCTCGTTGAATTTCATGTGCGGCCATCTTACTGAAGGTGAAGCTCTGGAGTATCTGAAATTCGTAGCAGCTTCTTGCTCGTTAATGGATGTTGAAGTTGAGCAGCAAGAGAAAGTAGTGTCCCTCGTGTTCGCCTTTGGTTTTCTGGTCGAGCTCAATGGCGGTATGGAAAATCCCATCACACCAGTGTACGCCATACATGACATACGGTTTCTGCAGTGAGTGAAGTTGGTTAATCTGCAGTGGGGATTTGTTTCAAATCTTTTGTCCTAAGGCTATGTTTGGTTCAAAGGAGGGGAGGGGAGGGGGAGGGAATTTAATGGAGGGGAGGGGAGGGGAAGGGAGGGAAAGTAATTTTACCTTGTTTGGAGGGATTTTGTAGGAGGGAAGGTGAAGGAAAATGATTAACCTTGTTTGGTTAGAAGATGAAGAGGAGGGGGAAATAAAATAGAATGGACAAATATACCCTTATTTATATTAGGTATTTTTGTATTATAATAAATTGTTAAGGGCATATTAGTAAAAAAAATTGTAAGAGTGAGCTTCCCCTCCAAATTCCCCCAAAATTGGAGGGGATGAGATTTTCCCTCGGCTGGGAGAATGGAGGGGAAAATTCTACTCTCCTTCCATGCCAAAAATTGAACCAAACGACGGAAAATAAAAATTTTCCTTCCCCTCCCTTTCCCTCCCCTCTCCTTCCCCCGAACCAAACACAGTGTTAGAGAGGGAACAAATAATCCGCTCTTTGTGTTTGTGAAAATGCTCCTTAGGCCAAAATCTTGCCTTTTTGTATTCATGGCATGTTTTTTTATCCAGTATTCACTGTTATGTTGTTGTTTCATTCCTTTCATTGGATTTTGGATCATAATATTTATGAAAAATGTCCATTTTTTTGA